GTACAGCTGGGCTGTGAAGCATGGTAGAGTGAAAGAGGATACCGCAAGAGAAAACATATTCTACTTTTCTGACACTTGTTCACATATGCATCTCTTTTTCATTGCTCAGAAATATGTGCCTCTCTTTTGTTTTCAAAGCTTCTCTGACAATCAGACTCTTTTCCACAGAGAATTGGGCAGAGAAAAATCCCAATAAAATGAACTGTGCATTTCAATTGTCTGATTGATGGGGTTTGAGACTTGTGTATTTTAAAGTTACGTTCTGGCATCGCTTGTTCTTTTAAGACATACAACACAGGCTGTCTGTCAGCAAAATTACAAAATGATCTGTACAGAGAAGGCTTTTCTCCCTGAATAATATGCAGTAATTATTTTTAAATGAAAAAACTAATATAAATTATTACTAAATAGCTGAACTATTTCCTTGGAATCAAAAACTTAACCAAAATGGACAATTCTCGAAAGTGCTGCGGAGCAGTGCCAGCCCAGAAAGGCTTTTATTACTAAGATTATGATTGCAATATTTTCCACAATTCCTCCTCTCAGTTTTAGTACCTTAATACTTAGCAACTACCACTAAAATTTTCAACTATTGCCCTGCTCACTGTCAAACCTTGGTGCCAGATACATCTTCTGGCAGTCCTTCCCTGTAAAGAAACCACATGGGGAGAAGGTGAAAAGGGAAAAAGCCTGCAATGTAGGCATTTGCCTTTATGCAATGTAGACACCATGCAATGTAGCCATAGTGCCAGCACAGAGTTATTCCCAACACGTTCCTGCAGCTGTGCCACAGAGGTAACCCATCCTTAGGGAGTGCTGGAGTTAGGCAGTCAGTAGCCTGCATCTCTGTGCTGACTCCAGGTCCTTGGTGCTTTCTTTCATCCCACAAAGTCCTACTACAGTGATGGCTATTTCTAGGGTCTTAAGGGCTCTGGCAGTGGTTAGTCTCACTTCTCCCCCAGGGCTGTGCAGGGATGGAAGAAATGATCTGTGGCCTCCTTCCACTCTTTATCTTGTGCAACCCTCTCCTTTATTGCTACAGGAGGTTCAGTTTGTCCTGCCACAATTTTCATGGAGCAGGAAAACTCAGTTTGCATAGATTGCACAGATCTGAAGCCACAGCAGTGAGGAATGGCAGTAATTGAACTGTAGCTGAAATGCCAGTTTCTTTACTTAGACATTGCTTTTATTTACAATGCACAGATTTTGGGTTTGCTGCTTCTATTATTACATTTCTGTAGAAGCTGTCCAGCTGCAAGGTGAGCCTCTGGCAGCCTGTGATCAGGTAATCTCAGATTGTACTGACCGCCCTTGTAGCCTGTGAGGCTGCTGGGGGCTGCTGTCAGATGGCTCCCAGCACTGCTTCCAGGGAGCAGTCATCCCTCTGCTGGTTACACACTGAGCATCCATCCCTGCATAACTCAGGCCTAGCCTAAAACATTGCTTTCTCTGAGAAGTAAATAAGTTAAATTCTTTCAAAGACAGTGATCCACTCTAGCACCTTGGGATTGGGGTTTTGAGTTCCTCAGTTTGAGTTTAAATTAAGATTTACCTACTCATCCATAAAGAGCCTGCTACTCCCAATAGCCTCTGTGGGTGATGGGCAATTCCTCTTTTAGAATTTTAATTTCATTCACTTATTTGAAAGATAGTCTCTAGACTCTGAGAAATGAGCAACGCAAATTATTGCTATTGACAATTGTTTTTTGATATTTAACGATTTCCTAAACAGTCCAGCATGTTTGTGATAAGGTTCCATGCCCATGTAGAGAATAAACCCTCAGCCTTCTTTCTTTTTCTTCAAGGCTACTGAATAAAGGCCGCTGAAATTGCTGTGCAGCTCTGTGTAAAAAGCAAAGGTGGAGATTTGGAGGAACTCCCGTTGTGCCGGGGTCTTCAGTGAGGGAAAAAGCACTCTTTCTGGATGTTAATTATGTAAAAAGAGGGCAATGAAGCATGTACTCCCTAAGGGAGCTGCAATGCTAAAACTGAAATATCTGTGATCATGGTGCATGCACCCACCCTCGCTTTCAGACAGGCGGCTTGGGTACCAGCAGCCGTTCATCTGAGGCAGAAGGGATCTCAGCACAGGGCAGCACAGCGTGCCTGGGGGCTCAGTCAAGCCTGCATCATTTTCTGTGAGCACAGGACAGTCGCCAGATCGGTGAATCTATTCCATACTGAAGGCATAAATGAACTAAAACATTTTCCACCTCTGCGTTTTTTCCTTAGTTCCTAAGGTATGAAGCTAGTTTCTGCTTCTTACATGGGACAGGTACAATTATGAACAAGCCAAAACATCTTAAGAATTCATGTGTAAAGTATTTTAATGAGTAGATGAAGATATTTACTCTTCTTTATCAAACTTAAAATAAAAGCAATGAAAGTTTAAACATTTTAGGAGTCCAAACCAATACTTTTTATCCATCCATTTTTCAGGCCTATGAATCCAAATAAAACCTTTGTCAAGGTTTTCAACATTTTCTATCTCCTAACTTGGATTGGCCAAATCTTAATTTGCAAAGTTTATGTTTTCCTATTAAATATTTTTGATTTTTAAATTTGGCTACCAAGGAAGATTTATCTGATCTCTGTAATTTCTGGGAATTTAATTCTGTTATCAATATTCGTGCTTCCTTGGGAGGAAAAAGAATATACATGCACTGAATTATAACTCATTCTACAGCTTATTCAAGCTGTTACTGACATATCATGTTGCAAAGCATCTGAAAAGAAAGTGATGCATTTTTACAAATTATCTGTTTATCACACATTTCTATCAACTGCAAGTGTGTAGTGAGAAGATACAGTAGTGGTTTAATATATCATAAAGACAGACAATGTTTGAAAGTACATGTTGATCTACATTTTTAGAAATTACAAATAAGACAATCATGTGCACAGTACTTCAAAATGCAGTGAATTTCTCTTCTAGTTGCATTGCCAATACCAGTTCCTTACACAGCTGAATCTGGTTAAAAGCTCTATTCCCAGTGTAATAAATGTGACACCACAGGTACAACATTGACAACAGAGATTAAGGCTCTGTTCTGATGATTTGTTTATTTCTGTGCATACCTCCCCTACACTCCCCTCTTCTCCCAGCACTTTTCCCCCCACTACAACCCATTTTTTTTCATACAGAATGAAAAGCTCATTGGCTCCAGAGTATTCAGGAAGAAAAATTTAAGATACAAGATTTTAATCTAAAAATAATGAAATATGCAATGATATGTAGATTCACAGCAATACCTGGCACTTATAAGGCTGTTTTAATTTTTTTAAATTATTGTTATTTGGGTATGTCAGAAGAAACCAATATCCCCATCCCATTGTGCTAAGCACTCAAAAGCAGGTAGCACACAGAGGATAGAGTCCAGGACTGAAGATCATATAGACTGATTTGGTCACAGCAGTCTTTGTGAATTCGAGGAAGAACAATCATCTCTGTATTTGAGATACAGAAGGTGAGGCACAAAAACTGCAAATGCCTTGCTCAGAAACACACAGTGAATGAGTGGTAGACTTTGGGTCTGTTGACTCCCCAGTCACTGATTTATTAAATTAAATTAAATTAATTAAACAACAAAGAGATCTTCTGAGATATACAACATGAGCCTCATATCATAAGGGAATCAAATGCACATAGCCTGATTCTGCACTACCTTTTGGCATCTGTAGTCATGTTCACTTTTTAAAGAACTTAAATATATACTTAAAATACCCTCCAAACAAAGTTGATTTGGTGTCAAGACATGTAGTTAAATAGAGAATTGGGCTCACAGCAATTACTCTGTAGCATGCTGAGAGAAGAATTAACTGTTCTATTTGCTAATGAATTAAGGCTGATTCCTATTTATATTAAGGCCTCTGTATCCTTCCATGATAGTGTAACTGTGCCTCAGTGCAAGTAAGACTCAGGTTTTAGAAAAACTTAAATTTTAGTTCCCTTTGAAGTCAATTATTTTAGTTGCCCTAAATGTATAAAGTAACTGGAGCCAAACAACCTGTCTCCATACTACAAAATATTTGAAAAAGGACTGTAAAATAATATAAAAGTAACCTGAGAGAAAACCAATCATATGCTTGTTGAAGAACAAAATTAGATTCAATAGACTTGTTGCCTGATCTTGAAAAAGGAGAATGGTACATGATGACACACTTTTATATGAAGATAACTGGCTTGATGTTTGGTGGTTATGAGTATGCCAGATAATTTGTAGATGCTTATTAACTCTGGAGATCAAGTCATCTTTTATACTACTACAATAAAATAGAAATAGATTTATTTGGTATTTGCGTGCTAGACCTAGTTTGCATAAAGCTAGTGTGTGTTATATTCAGAAGAGTAGGAAGATGACTCCAAGCTCAATAAAATGCTACATGTTCACAGATTTCTCCTACTGTTGTTATTAAAAGCTATTATGGGTTTCTTTCTTAGGAGTTCTCTAACTTTGCTCTCTGTAGATGACCATTAGTTTAGAAATTCTTTCTTCTCCAGATGCTCTATTTGCAACAGTTTTAGTTTAAAACCTTCTGTTTTTAAACAACAGTTTAACATTTGGTGGCTAAGAATAAAACTGTCATTTCTCTATTCAAATTTAAGGCCTGGGTTCCCATGGGTTGCAGCACTTTTTAACTTTTTTTACTTCTAGTTAGAAGTACGTTTATTTTTTAAAGCTAATATGGAATTTGTTTGTGTAAATTAACAATGTAGGCATCAGTGTGATGATGACAATTACCCAGCTGAGGATCTAGCCACTGAAATGTAACTCCAGTGGTTGGGAAAGCTGTTTTGTATACAAGTCAACAGCTGGATCATATATGATGTTATGTTTAGTCTCACTGCAATTCAGAAAATATTTAATAATAAGTTCCATTGTTTCTATTCCCCATTTTTGTATACAAATAAATAATCTTTTCTAAAACATTCTTTTTCTTTAGTAAGGCTTGTATCCATTGTCATATCAAAAGTGTTCACTATTGGAGCAATCTTTCAGTTTGCTTTCCTTAGGGTTATTTTTATTATCAAATTCTACAGCATTCTAAACTTTAATGGTCATTAGCAACCCTGCAGTCGAGTAAAGAATCACATTTAAAAAGTATAAGGTATAATATTTTCTTGTCCAAAGCTAAGGCAGGATGAACAAAAGTAATGAGCTCATCTGATCCTCATCTAACAAGACCTGATTTTAAACAGTATTCAAAATACAAAGCGAGGATGTTGTCATGATGATTATTGCACTTTCTCAGTGTCTTGCTATAGAATTAGTGTTCCCTTTAGCAATATACAATTTCTTTTCTTGAAGACCATGTGAAGTTATTGTACTCTGCAAAGAAAAAAAAGCACTTAAAGTGTTATGGATTATAACCTAGACAGAAGGATACAAAACCAAATTACTGTTCTATGATTCAGCTATGCCATGATCTAATATTGTTTCAAATTTTTTTTGTTGTCATTTAGATTGGCATCATCTTCTAAACACCCCATGGGCTCTTTGGCATGCTACAAACTCAGCAGATGCACTGTCTCCTGGGCTTTACAGCTTCTTCTGATGAATGTACAACGTTTGGAACAAAGCCGCTCTTGACACCTTCCCATCCATCTTGTATTGAGATTTCTCCATTTTTTACAAGTTCGTAGATGTCTCGTGTAAGAATTGTAAAGGACTCCTCAACATTTGTGGCATCTTTTGCTGAAGTTTCTATATATTTCATACCACAGTCAGATGACAGTTTTTCAGCTTCTTCTCTCGTAACCTCGCGCTGTGACACTAAGTCACATTTGTGTCCTACTAAGAGGAACACAATCTGAAAGGGCTGCACGTGCATTTTTGCTTCTTCCAGCCAGTCCTTCACATGTTCAAAAGATCGTCGATTTGTGATGTCAAATACTAGTAGGCCACCCACAGAATTGCGATAATAAGAGCGTGTTATTGATCTATGAAGGGGAAAAAAAGCAAAAGGAAAATTAAAATGCATTTTCACTTTATTCATAAAGCAATTACTTTTCCAAGATGCAATGTATTTTTATCTTTTGTAAGTTTTATTAAATAACTTCCCTTTTTTAAAGCTGATTGAAATGTATTAATTTATCTACTAGACTACTTTTTTTCCTACATTCAAAATTCACTTTCTAAACATTTCTGAATCCAACACCTCCAGGGCAAATATTGAATGCTGAATTATTCTAAAGTGGTCTTTATTAGCAAACTCTGGGACATGTTCACAGAAGAAAAGATATACACTTCTGGTGTAAAGTCTGAGTCCTTCAGCTTCATATAAGCATGCACTTCACTTTGTTCTAATTAATTATTTCAGACTGAAATATTACACATACGTCAAGAAACCTGGAGCCCAAACTTGCCAATGTTCAAGCATCTCCTTTTGCATTCCTGCAGAAACATTATTTAAAAGAATGTTTATATAGACAATCATAACTCTTTGTGCTTGCAGAAGTCAACAGGTAGCAAGCAGAGAAAGGAAACTCCCTGAACAAAGCTGTCCAAAAGTTTTGAGTGAGCTGGGCAAACACGCACTTACTACAGGCAAGGGACTCATCTTCCTCCAACATCTCTCTCACACAGAGATTCAAAAGCTCTTTACATTTTATAAATTTACAATTTTTTGGCATGAGGGCTTGGAAGAATTATTTTCTATTTTTGAGCCCTCTAAGCTCCAGAACATTCACTGGAAGGAATTTTGGAAGTAGGAAGCTCTTCTTCTGGTTGAAAAAAAACTAATGTGCTCTAGAATAAGGAAAAAAAGTTACAATGTAGAGAGAGAGAGAGTGAAAGATAAAGGAACTAAACAATTATTTTAAGTCTTTAATCATGAGCAATAGGAGAGAATGGAGAAGGTGAGAAGAGACATTTTGAAGGAAGTGGCAGCCTACCAAGGAATATATAGCACTAGTTGCTGGCATAAATATATAACTAGGAAGCAGGATGAACTGTATACAATAGCACAACTTTCTATAACAGTAGCTCCCTCCAATTTTCAGTTCATCACACTTCATAGAGTTTTTGATAACAATTTGAACACAGAGGTATGATTAGCAGCAATAGTCCTATTACAGATAGCTAAGTGCACAGATAAAGAAGACTTAGATTTCTTGGCATGTCTAAATTCATTTAGCCACAGCAAACAGCATTTGAAATGGTTTTATTTAGATAAGAGGGAGGGACTGTTTCTCCTAATGCTTAGAAAGATCTTTTCTACATTGCCAGCAATGCAGTCCATGCAGTGTCTCTCTGAATGTGAAGACAACAGGATCTTAACCTCAGATTAATTCAAAAGACCTGGATATGAAAAATGGCACACTGTTTCACAAAATTTTTTGAGACCATAAGTGAAGGGTGTCACATTTTGTGAAGTATTAAATACAGGTGCCATAAGGATCTGTTTCTGGTTTTTCTTAACTATTTTTTTTCCTCTAAAGTGTCTGCAAACACAAATGAAAGCAGAAAAATAATTCAGGTAGTTCTAGTAAGAGCAAATGTGGATGACAAAAATACGATTTGATATAGAGAAGTGAAAGCTAATACAACCTACTTTCAGTTAAAAAAAAACAAAACAAAAAACCTGAATAACCCTGCCCCCACCCCAAACCTTGAAAACAAAGAAATGCATTAGCCAGGAAAGAAAGTAGGTTAGAATTGAAAATGCAATGCATCATCTGCCAAGTATTTCTATATATAAAAAAAATGTTATATAGTGTATCTATGAACTGGAGTACTGAAACACAGTGCTCTGTATGTTTTTGCATGCTTATACACAGCAGCCAGTACCCTCATCTCTTGCAAGTCCCTGCTTCAGAGATGTGCTAATTTACAGTAGCTGATGATCTAAGCCATTATATTGAATTATGTACATGTATTGCTTTTAATGAAGATGGCTAAAAAGTATCCTGTAACTTTATGCTGTACATCACAAAAGCTGGGGGAATATATTGGAGAATATAAAAAAAAAAGCAATACAAATTTTTTAAGGAAACATTGATACATACAATATCATGTTATATGGTTTTCTAAAATCTGGGAAAAGGGTAATTGTTGCCTTGTATTTCAGCCTTCTAATTGTTGACAGATTCTGTTATACTTTCTCACACTCTTTTTTGTAAATAATGATTGTTTTACATTCCTCTTTAGAAGAAGAAAGAATTGATAAACTGTTGATAGAACCAATGAGGTCAGAAGGAATTATCCTCACTGTCCAATCCATGGTCATTGCTAGAATTCTATAAATAGACATGGAATGTAAATAAAAAGTTCTTTTCCTGCTTAATTCTTCGAAGTCACTGAGTGTGAGTGTCTTTCCTTTTGTGCCATTAAGCCACAGATAATAGAACCACAGAATCTTTTAGGCTGAGGAAAGATTTTTAAGACCATTGACAATGATTGTTAACTCAGCACTGCACAGTCCACCAGTCTACCACTTCTTTGAGTTGACACAACACATCTTTTGAATAACTCCAGGGATGGTGATGCCACCATTTCCCCATGCAGCCTGTCCCAGTGCTTTTACATTTCATGAGTCAGCAGCCAGGAGGGCCTGGGGGCATCAGGCACAGCATGGCCATCTGGGCAAGGGAGGGGATTGTCCTGCTCTGCTCTGAGCTGGGGCAGCCTCACCTCCAGTGCTGGGGACAGTGCTGGGTGACACAGCATAAGAAAAACATTAAATTATTAGAGAGTGTCCAAAGGAGGGCAAGAAAGGTGAAAGGCCTTGAGGGGAAATCGTATGAAGAGTGGCTGAGGTCACCTGGTCTGTTAAGCCTGGAGGACAGAAAGCTGAGGGAAGACCCCACTGCAGTCTGCAACTTCCTCATGAGGGGAAGAGGAGGGGCAGGCATTGATCTCTTCTCTGTGCTGACAGTGACAGGATCTGAGGGAATGGCCTGAGCTGTGTCAGAGGAGGTTTAGGTTGGATATCAGGGAAAGGTTCTTCACCCAGAGGGTGTTTGGGCAGTGGAACAGCTCCCCAGGGCAGTGATCACAGCACCAGCCTGGCAGAGTTCAAGAAGCACATTTGGACAATGCTCTTAGGCACATGATGTGATTCTTGGGGCCATCCTGTGCAGAGCCAGGATTTGGACTTTGGATGATCCGTGTGAGTCCCTTCCAACTCAGGATATTCTATGATTCTTTGTATAATCACATCAGACTATGGTTTTAGGGAGGCTTTAAGGCAGTCACGGTGTTTCTTTTTCATTATGATCTTACTGATCTTTACCAGATGGACCAAACTTTCACTAAAAGCTTTATCTAATTTTGAAGAGTTATTTTTATACTATGACTAAAGACTACATTGTAATGGTATTAATTTTGACAATCCATATTGCTTACTGAAAAAGAATAGGATAGTGTTTTATTTTCAAGATAAAAAGTGGGTTAATGGAAGCATCCCCACAATATTTTGCCCCACTGAAATGAACTCTCAGTCTTAGCACCACTACCAAGCACTTTATGGCATTGGAGATTTCATTATTTAAAAATATTATTGGATTTAAATACAGGAAAATTAAACAAACAAAACCCACAGCAAAGTAGATGATGTAAAACACAGACAAAGTAGCAGATTACTTTAAATGACTGATTTGAAGATAGAAAGAAACTGATAATGCGCCCTTCATTTACATTAATCTGCATTATAGACCTGAGTCTACAGTAAGCAAGTCTGTAGGTTCTTGTTCTAGTAAGATATTAAAGGTGTTACTGACTTTGTTGTTACTGTACATCTGGCACCTCAGATAATGGGAGATTCTGCTTAGTGATGCCTGACTGATGTCAAAATAAATATATTCAATAGCTGCTATTTCAGGGCACTTTAAAGACGACTTCTACGTCAAAGCATGAAATCCAGTTCAAATACGGAATCGTCAATGAGCTAGAGACATACAAGAATTTTTCCCAAACAATTCCTCCAAGGAAGTACATGACATCTTTCAAGAGAGTGTGATGGCAGGTGTGTCACACCTTCCTTTTCCCCTAGGAATGTCCCTAATGCCTGGGACAAAAAGAAGGGGGTTATTATGTAGCCAGTAGTTTGCCCTGCATGCAGGGAACTCCCCAGGGAGCTTTAAAGACAGGTTTTACCTCCTCTAAAATCCCAGTGCAAGTGAGCCAGGTCAGAACTGGAAATCAGAACAGCAAACTGCCTGGTGTTCCCCAGTATTAGATAACTTCTTGGATGAATTAGCTCTTCCCTAAGATTGTCTTGCTTGTGATCTGTAGTGTTCTCCTGTAGTGTTCTCCATTGGCAGAGAACAGAATGCAACATTGTAACCTGTGGTGTAAGGTAGTAAAATATTTATAATTTATTTGACTAAATGTAAAACAGACTATACAGTAAACACCATGATATTTAGTACACCAACTGACAAGAAACTCCTAGCAGAAAAACAAATGCAAATATTTAAAACTGCTTTCTTCAGGCTGTATCTTCTGAGTATTAGAAAAAACACAGAGGTAAATTTAAGAGCAGCTGACTGCATGACTCATCAGTATATATTCCCTGAGCATTCCAGGGTTAAAGGATTGCCATAATTTGATTTTAAATATATGCAAGGTTCTGTGCATTTGCATTTCTTTCAGTTGAGTGTCTTGTCATTGGCAATCCTGGCTATTTGTCAGCAAATTCAAAATGAAGAGATTATACACTCTTAGTCACTTATTTACAAGTATTCTACATTCTGTCTGGAATGCACAAAGAGGGTGAAAAATGCTCAGAACTTTCCATTAACACTGTTAATTTCTTTGCTAATCCTTCAGAAGCCTACCTGCAAAAATGCATCTGAAGTTGTGATGCATGCAAGCCCAGGAAAGATGTTTGTTATTTCACTCTAATGCTTATTATAAAGAAAAAAAGTTGCTGTCCCCTAGTAAAACAGTGCAATCCCACCTCTGGGATTGTGTGGGAATCTGCACAACTGTTGCAACAGAAGACAGGGAGTACATTCTGGCCAATGAAGGAGCCCATTTCAATCCTCCTGCCAGCATTCCAGTAACAACAGGCGTGTGGCTCAGGTACATGGAGAGGGGCTATGCGTTTGCCTGTGCCATGAACTCATATCTATTGAACCCAAGTCCAAACTAAAATCCTGCACAACTTGCCTGAAGTGACAAGCACAACAGAGACACAAGAGTGAGTGAGTGACAGTATCAACTTATAAACTGGGAAATGACTGAGACTTTTCTGGAGGAGGAAAAGAGGGTAGTTTTGCTACTGTTTTTAACAGAGGGGAGAGAGTATTTAATACTCAGCGCAGCATTTGAGCTAGTTTAGCTACATTATAAATGGTAGCAGTATTAGTGCAGACTCCTGGCAACAATAAGTGCACAGCAGGTGCAGAAGGCAGATAAAACACTAATAAGGGACTGTAGCTGGCTGCCCAGTGGCTTCCACACTGCCACAGCTGCACCGTTGCTGTGCTGAAAGGAGGAAGAGCTAGGAGGTGGCCTGGTCTCCAGATTGCATGGGAGAGTTAATTGGCAGAGCAAAATACTGCAGCGGAGGGTGAGTTTGGAGGTGATGACAAAGTAAGAAATGCAGAGTTAGGCAGAGGCCTCTTGCAGCACTGAAAGAAAAAAACGTGGAGGAAGGATTGCTATGCTAGGTCCGGGACTTCAGGGGAAAGATGAGGGAGGGGAGAAGAAACAGGATAAGGCCACTTGTTACCCTATAGTGAGATCTGGGAGGAGAAGGGTAGCTGTTCCCTGGTGTGTCTGAAGGGAAAGATTGGGGAAGGAAACTTCTGGGAAGTAACTTGTGGGCAGTGGGGCAAGAAGGATGGTGGGCCACAGGACTAGGACCACTGGCAGACAATGGAGTGGAGGACTGTTTGTGGCACAGCACCAAACGGGTGCAGGGAAATGTGCTGGGGGAGCAAGACAAAGTTCTTGGGGCCGGAGATGTGTCGGATGAGGAGGGTACAGGGCCGGGAGGGCAGCAAGGTGTGCCCGGAGGTCGGCAGGTTTGGGGAGCGGGGGCGGGAGGGGGTGTGGGTAACATCCCAGATCCTGTCTGTACCTGAACCGCTCCTGCCCCGCCGTGTCCCAAAGCTGCAGCTTGACCCTCTTGCCGGGCTCGATCTCCACCAGCCGGGAGAAGAAGTCCACCCCCACGGTGGGGTCGGAGTGCAGCGGCCCCGGGAAGCGGCCCTCGGTGAAGCGGTGCAAGAGGCAGGACTTGCCCACGGTGGAGTCGCCCAGCACGATCAGTCGGAACTGGTAGATCCAGATGGCCGCGTCCATGGCGGCCCCGGCCTGGCCCGGCTCCGCCTTGGGGCTTTTCCTGGGGCTCCTGCGCGGCCGGTGCCTGCACCGCGCCCCGATCGCCCCCACGCCCGGCATCGGCGCGGCGGGCGGGCGGCGGCGGGCGCTGCGCGGGGCCCGGGGCGCCGCTCCCGCGGGGGCAGGACGGAGCCCCGATCTCCCGCCGCTCCGGACGGGGACCGGCAGTCGGGTACCCCCGCCCCGCTCCCGGGGCTCGGCGCCGTGGTCCCCGCCGGCTGCCCGGGCGGGGCGGGGCGGGGCGGGGCGGGCGCTGTCCCTTCAGCACCGCGCTGCTGCCCCGCTCCGGCCGCGGCTCCGCGCCCCTGGTGCTCCGGCTGCTCCGGCTGCTCCGACCGCTCCTGCAGCCCCGGCCCTGCCGCCGCCGCCGGTGAGAGCTGGGGCCTCCTCCGCCGCCCGCTGGGCGGTGGCGCGGCCGAGCCGCCCGCCGCCGCCCTCCCACCGCGCCGTCATGTGCGCGGCCAGACACAGGGCCCTCCTCCGCCGCACCGAGCGCCCAGGGAACGCTGCCTTGGGGCCGCAGCCCGTGCCCAGCGTCCAACTCCCCCCGCGGGCAACAAGTGCAGGGTTGGGCCGGGAGAAGGGGGCTGCTGGGGCAGGGCGCCAGGCCGGCATGGAAAATTGTGGGAGAGGCTGTTAAAGCATCGCTTTTGCAAAGAAATTGGGAGCAGAAAGGAAACACTGGGGGAATGTGGTGGAACCAGGTGAAAAAGGGGCACGGGCCTGGAAAGGAAGGTGTCCGGTGGGGTGGGAGCTGGGCAGGCCAACAGATAGAGAGGAACAAGTGCCAGATTGCAATGATGTGCTGGGAAAGTGGCAAAAGGGAAAAGGAGAGTTAGCAGTCTAGATATCCCCAGAGAGAATCATAAAAACTGCAGAGAGAAAGGACATAATACTTGAAATGACAGGGACATGCACTCTTCATTTCCCAGTGGAACAAATTGTATGTATTTGGCCTTGATGAAAGTGTCCTTTCCCAAAGTAATAGAAGAATTGTGTCAGAAGAGATTCTTGTGTCAGAGATTTTTCTTTGCCCTGCTGGGATCTTCAGCTGACTATCATGTAATGATAAATCTGCTGAGCAATAGATTCCTCAGACTTTTAAGTCTCAGAACCACATGGGATAACAAACACTAACAGTCCTCAGATGGCTGGTAAGGTCATTAGAGCCAAATAAAAGGAAATTGGTGGACTTCTGGTAAACAGAATTGCATTAGCTTCTTCTGTAGTTTGAGCTGGGGTGAGGGAGCCATGGGCAGTGAGCCTGAAAACCCAGCTGAGTAGGCTGGGACAGCTGGGAAGTAGGTTGTTTCTGGCAGAAGGTCAGCAGCAAGTGGATACTGGTATGAATAGGCACTTTGACAGTGAAAAGGACAAGGAGAGAAGATGGGTGAAATTTTTTTTCACACAGGCTGTTTTCCTCTGTCCATGTTGGGCACAAATGCAGCTGAACCCCTAAGTACCTGAGGCTGGTTAGAGGCGTATCTGAGACCACATTTCTTCTGTAAGTCTCTGGGGCATTTTGCTGTGACGAGTATACTCTTTGCCTGAGTCTGATATTGTTACTGTAATGTGTTACTTGGTCACCACTGTGAGACAGGTAAATTTCCCTCATAGGCTTCGGTAGATCTTGCAGCTCCACAGAGAGGATGAGTGAGACTAAGGGCAGGGTGAAGTCAAAAGAGGAATTGCATGCGCTGCTCGGGAGATGATGCCTTCCAGCCCCAAAATGAGTTTGTCTGGGATATGAATGAGTGGCTGGCCCTGGGGAACAGATCTAGATGACCCCAGAACCTTCCAGCAAAGATGTGGCCTGGCATTCCAGAAGCTGTAAAAGGCACAGCCAGGAGCTGCCAGAGGGATTTATCTTTCTGTGTATGCTGAGTTGAAGCTGCAAGATGCTACCTGCTCCAAGAACCTCTTCTCTCCAGGGACCTTTCAGTCTGTCCAGTCAGTCCCTGGGACATAATGATTCTGTGTCTGCATGTATCTCTGAGTGTGTTCCCTTCTGACTTCTGTACATTTCTCCCTTGTACTTTCACCAGCTCTTCTTAAAACAAAATGAACACAGCTTGTACTTGACTAGTTGCTCCTTTAAGTAACAATTAAAATAAAACTGTGTTAATAATAATAATAATAATGATAAATGAACCCTCATAAGGCTGAAATCAGTAAATTTCTCGCGGTTCTTCATGGGACATGATTACAGGTGATTCCTGGGAATGTTTCCTAAGTGTTCTGAAAAAAGTAGCACTTATATACAAGAAGTATTTGCATGTGAAACAGACGTTCAAAGGTACATGATATCAGCAGCTGTGATACTTGCCAAATGTGAAAACTGAAAAATTTCAAGTGGACTTTGTTCACTGTATAATACCTACATCAGATGCACAGCAGTTTGCTGTCCTTTGCACATCTGGGCTGGAAGAACCCCACACTAATGAGTTACACAGCTCATTTCATTCCTAACAGCTGAGCAAAGTCAATTTGCCTAGGGCATTTACAGTTGAGTTAAATATGTCTCCAAATATTATCAGGCTTCCACAGTCTGGTCTGTCTAGTTAAGCTTGTCATTGTAGAAAGGCTGTGGTATATACATATCTAAAGCAAAAATTTCTATCTTCATTTGTGATCTTTTGAGTGTCATATGATAAATGCTGCCTAAAGAACCTGAATTTGTATTGTCTGTTTTGAAGAGAACACGGTGGGTGAATTTTATGTCCAAGTCATTCAGTTTTTTTTCATTTACCAGTGAGTACAGAGGCCCTGACAGCATGCACTTCTCACAAAGATCTCAGACCAGCAGTCAGAAGAAGCAAGCAGAAACTGGTGTTTTGAGAAGCTGGGATGGTTAGATCAGAGTGGTTGAAACAGCAACACGACCCTGACTTTCCCTCAGACAGTTTCTGCCACTTGTACATTGGCAGGTTCAATCTGCTCTTCCCAGGGAGGGTGAATCAAACCTAAATTCTGTGATAAAAATAAGAGCCAAACAACCCCAAACTTCCAAATTTTCTCCTTTATCACCATTATGACTGCACTAAGCTGGAAATCCAAGATGTTTCAATCTAAAAAATTCCTCATTTCTTGTTAGATTTTTGACCTGGCATGGATTTTTCTCCAGCCTTGGTAACTGGGTAGGTGACTGCATAGATCACAGCACTCCTGAAGAACGTGCTCATGTGCTTACATAGAAGTTTAGAGAAACACAGATGAAAGCAATTGATTTTTAACCCCAGACAGCCTGTGACTGAGAAATTATGCCTTCTGCTGCCACCCAAGGACCTAAGAGAACTGAGGGACCAGTCTGGAAGCAAGATGCCATCCATGCCTGTTTTAATTGTCTAGGCTATTAGTCTGGAGGCTGATGCAGCTGTTCACTTTTTCACAGAGCAAGTTTCAATAGACACAAACTATTGATTTTTTTTGCTGGAAGCTCTTTTCTTTTGATAGAGTAGTCTGGAGGTGGGATACTCCCTACTAATGAGCAGTGACTTTCATTCCTCTAAGATATCATCAAGCCAGTTAGGTCTCACATGATGGTGGGAAAGACATGTCTTAAATTACAACCTCTTAAAAGATGTCCTTGTTTGATGAGGGTGTTCCTTATGTTGTTGAGATAAATATGTGCATAGAAAAACATTGTACAAGCCTCAGGAAAACAGCAACTTTCACAACTGAGTGATCAGAATACATGAATGGACTTATAGAAAAATAAATAAATAACTAAATAAATAAATATCTACATACAGATCCACTTTGTGAGGCATTAAAATGGCTCTGTGGAGATGATGTAAATGAAACTACTCCACACCTGAATGAACTCACAGAGGCAGTTTCAATGAAGAAGAAGAACACCCATCTGGGACAAGAAAAACTTCTCCTAACTGTCAGACCTGATCTTCCAGAAGTACCTACAACATAATTTTGAAGACAAGCCTGGGGAAAAAAAATTCCTAACTTAAGAGAGTATTAAAAATCAAGGACTGGATATTTACTCAACAAATGCTTTATAACCATTAGATATTTTTATGTTTTTCCTCACATCTCATCGACTCTTATGCCCTCTGTGTTACACACAGTTAGCAGTGTGTACCTGAACTGTAGGGCCATCACTGTCTCACCCCTTTTGGCCAGCCATCTCCTCCCTCAAAATGTTAGGAATATTATGTTATACTCTGAGCAATGACTCACATCTTGATCTTTGCTGTGCCTAGATAAGATGTACTACAGAAGTGTATTTCCCTCCCAAACATCTGTGTATTCCAGGAGCAATAGAAGGTATCTAGCTCTGAAAATCTTGCCATTTTAGACATCTAAGAGGGCATCTTAGACAGCCACAGTTACACAAGCACATCTAACTCAGTAAAGTGTCAGGAAAATACAGGAACATGTAACCTGCTCCACTAAAATACTAAAGTGAATTCATGCTCATGGACATTTCAGAGATAATGGCTGAACTACCTGAGAACCTGTCTTTAGGCAAGATTAGATTGCCTTTAGGTGAGATTAAGAACCAAACCCTAAATGGAAATTTATTCCATGACACTAAACAAATGAATTATTTGTTCTCATGTCTCACTCTTCCATTTGCCACTTGGAATGGTTCCTTCTAGGATTCTATGCATCTTTTGCTCTGATAAAGTCTGTCTCCTACATTTCCTTTCTGTATGGGAAATTCTGGTGTGTGAAACAATATAGATTTCCACTAACAAAGAATGCTCTTTGTCTGAGATTTGTGTCATGGACCCCTTGGGCACACTGATCAAGGAGATACTTTCTTCTGTTAGCACTGCATTTCTGAAGGGATCCTACAGGTCATGGCCCACTATCACGGTCATCTGTTTTTCACAGAGTCCCACTTTTGGTCAGATGCAATTTCTGATAATTTCTTAAAAGGTGTATTATTTTTAATTGCCTTCATGAATGTAATTGCTGAGATAAATCGGGACAGGCAAACA